CGTGTTCAATTTCGGTATAAGTAAGATAAATGATACACGCGGAGTAACTTATACGAACCTGTTAGGAAATATACGTTCTGTAAATTTGCACCAAGCTAATTATATTTGTCAGGGTCTATATGGTTTAATACCAACAGAAGAAGCTAACGGTTGACCATTTTTTTACACTTCATAAACCATCTAAATGCATGTGATCTAAAGTTTAGACAGAAAAATTCGCAATATAAATTTGCATATATTTAAAAAAAATGTATGTAAATCTACTGCAAACAAAACTTCAAGATAATGCATTTATCGTTGAGAGCTTGATTTTTCCAATAATATTTCGAAACTTCAAAAATGCAATATCGTTAAGTTTACATCGTTGCATGCAAGCATCATGTCGCCCCTGTCGTCTTGCGTGCTATAACAGCGGGCTAACAAGCGTATGTGCCATAATTAATAATAATAACAAGACCAAAATTAAAATGTTGGCAAATTTTTGTCTGCATTTTAGTCGCCTACGTAAATAAGATATTACTACCAAATTTGGGACTAATTTCTTTTTATGTATACTTTATATATACACTTTTTAGACAATAATTTCGATAGATAATAATCGGAAATTGATCAGTGATAGCGAATATCACGGAAGCCTCTAATAGTCATGGTCAGTTCTCCGTATAAAATGTGGGTGTGGACCCACGCATTCCAATGATAACAGAATTGAACAAAACAAAAATAATGAAGTAACCAAGTGAGGTGTTCACTTTGATTGTTGTATGTATTATTATATGTTTTTGTTGCTAAACTTGACTTTTTTATACCAATAAAGTATCAAATAAGCATACAGCATGCCTGATGATAAGCAGTTATGTAGTTTATAAAGGCTACAAACATCACTGCAATCACCATAATGCTGTAGTTCCTTTAAAAATCTTTTTAGCCTTATTTTGAAGTCTCATACCATTAGAAAAATCTGAATCTCCTCCGAAGTCAGTTCCAAAAAAAAAATTTATTATGAAATTAGAGCTCATTCATCTCAACAAATTCCTTAGGATACACATAATGAATAGGATTATGTCACTTCCTAGGTACGAAGATAAGTTAGATGGGGATAAGAGTTCATTTTAGATTCAAATCAGCACCAGAACGTTCAGTTGCCCTGGCGTTTGATGTTTGGCAAAACAGAAAAGAGGTAGTGACATCGTTCTATCGACCGATCAGCCTTTACATTTATTAATTTAAGGGTTCATCGTACCGTGTTAGTACCTTACTTTGTTAATTTACAAGATATATCGTAAATATACATAATTGTGTTCATCAAAACTTTATGTACAGCATCTAACAAAATTAATGATCAAGCTTGGGTGTACAAACTACCAGACTGAGTTAGAGTTCAATTGCTTCGCTTCAGTATGTTTTCGAGAGTGAAAAGATTAGGTTGAAATGGTAGGTTTATTCCTCATATAAAATAAAGGAAGACCGAAAGAATTTTCTACTGCATACCTTTCGGTAAGCTTTCGAGAGGGTGATCGCCGGCAACAGCGTTTTAGCGTGATAAAATCCGAAACAAGGATATCCACAAAAAACCAAATTAACCGACATAGGTTGAAGGATAAGCACACTGAAGTAGCAATGGACTAGTCACATATCTCTACGAATCGACAACTGATGGGGAAGAAAGGTTCTTGAGTGGCGACCAAGTACGAGCAAACGCAGTATAGTACGACCCCTCCCACCCCACTACTATAGATAGAGTGACGACCTCAAATGCATTGCAAAGTCTCTGGTTGCAGGCAAGTCAGGACAGTTCTTATGGCAGGGGAGGATTGTTAGTAATCGGGTTTAACTGCCCCATTGCTAGCAATATACCCTAACAGGTCGACCTCTATGTGGTTCCTCCTGGAAACCATAGTGGTTAATTCTAGTGAAATCATCTTGATTGGCTAACTGACCTGCCTTTTCATCCTCACCAATCAGCCCTCACTGGTGCCGTGGGAGTGTACACCGACAGCGTGGACAGGGTTACCATTTCATTGTCATCCATTAAAAAAAGTTCTTTATGGCAGTCTATGGGGAGACCTATGTTCAGCAGTGGACGGATAATGGCTGAGAGAATAATGAATATGATTCAATATCCCTAATAAAAAATTACAATGAATTCTACGTTGCACAATTGTTAAAAATTATATAACTAAATAAAATATTTTTTTCAAAGGATTGAATCAGTCTCCTTATCTTGTATTCATCTGCTCATTTTTGATCCCAACATGCAAATTTATCTCCAAAAATTTTCAAATATATTTTTGTTACCACATGTACAAAAAACGCCAAATGTTGCCATCTTGTTTTATCTCATATAAGTAGTAAAAATATATCACTTATTTACAGGTTCATTTGGCACTTATAATCAAGGGCATAGGTGACGACTGATGTTGAGAACATGGATAATAAACCCTGTGGACATTTGGGACATTCTGGAGGGCAGTAGAAGACTCAGAGTAAATTATTATATAAATATAATATTAGCAATAGCCGTTTTAATTTGTGACAGATTAAAATGATGAGACTAGAAAAAAAAAAATATTGGCAAAGCAGGTGATGCCAAAATAAGGTTAAAAATCTATAGTATAGGGATAAATATCACATGTGGTGGAAATCTGGGGGATGGCTCAATTTTAAACCATATTTACGCTTTCACATAAAATTTAATATAACCAAGGTATGTTCTCAAGAACCATATAATAAATACTTCACTTCCAGTACTGTCATCATGTTATACCAATGCAATATGATGAGTTCTTCTGTTTTTTCACACTTCCTATGGAAACCATTGTAGTGAGAATAAAACTTGAAAGATGTTAATGACCTTGCAATAAGTATAATTTACTAATATGGTATCTTTATTTAGGATTATTTTCAAAATATCATTGTCATAAAAAATATCATCATCTTCATCATTATAATCAAACTTTGGTTTACATAAAATATGATTAAGAGACATCAATTAATTATTTAATTAAGTTTAAAGTAATTGAAGGAATCCCACAAAATCTTACCAAACACATTAAAGATATATAAAATTTCACATAAATCTTTTATTCTTCGCTTACTTTAATTAATCTGTCAAAATTCTTCAAAACAAGAACAAAAAAGACAATTATTTCTAACATCATCATTCACCAATATGTTAATACTAAGGCATGAAGATGATCTCATATCAGAAAGTACTAGGAACCATTGCAATTAATTAGAAAGTCATATCATAATAGACTACACGGTAGTGGGCTTAACAAAAGAGCTACTACTAGAACCCCAGAACTGAAATCTATAGAAACAAAATTTAACCCTATCCTATCTTTTAAATAACAACCACTACATATAATAAAATAAATTATCACAATCTGAGTTTCCAGTCTATTTGTTTCATAATATACTCTTCCACATGGCATATGTGGTCCTCTAATATAGAATGTACCACCACTTCCTTTCCTGTGGGAGGAAACTAAGAGAACTCAATAGTTGAGGGATGAGCAGCATCCCTCTTAAAGCATCACCAAAGCCTAACTGCAGTTGCCAACCTGCCTGCCAAGTGTAACAATTAACGACAAAACCTCTCATATGAAGGAGGAGGAGGGAGGAAGATGTCCAGTAGTGTATAGTTTTAGGCTGATATATGATACTCCTTATAACAATCTATTGTAAACATTGTAATACTAGACAGTAATGACAGACAGTATTTAGTAATCTACATATTATTATAGTTTCTATTTCCATGAAGTTATATAAGTGAAGGTGGTTTTAAGGAAATATTAGTACAGAGAATAATAGATATACAATAGTTAATAATGGTAACTAATAGTCCCATTGCTAACAATATACCCTGTCAGGTTGATTCCCTTGCTTCATCCTCACCTATCACCTGATGAGGTTATTATACATTATCATCTATTTAAAAAAAAAAACTTTTTAAAAAGAATGCATAGAGACTGAAGAAACTCCAGTTAAATTAATGGTTTAGTATGGTCAAGCAATGATTGCCGATCATTAGATCTCTAAGATCTCTTTCAAAAGCTTATGGTAATACAAGTCACCTCTTCAAATAGTCTACATCAGTAATTCCTAACCTTTTCAATTTTGATACCTCTATGATAAGAAATATCCATATCCAATAACAAAATTTAGGGATTTAACCAAATTAGATATATTAAAATAAGACAAATAGGTAATTTAATAATCATAGAAATAGAAAAATTAAATTTATCTATTTTAAACAGACATGCAATTAATTGTTATTTTAATAACACCTACACCTGTATATAACTATCTATATTTTGCAGCATTGTGAAATACAATGTAATGCTGCACACATAATAAAGTGACAACACTGCAATTTTATAACATAAATTTATCAAATTAAAAATATCCTAACTATATGATACTTAAGCCTGGCTGTTATTATTATTAACTGGCTGTTTATCATAGAATTATTCTATAGATATAGTGGATAAATACTCACATTATTCTAAATACTTACATAAAATCTGCAGTTTTATAATCAGAGATATTGAATAATAGACAAATATATGTACTATTATATTGCTTCTTATCAATTTCACAGCAAATTATAATAAAACATGATATTGATGCCTGGCATAAATAAATATATATTTTAGAATTACTTAACAATATAAAGTATTAAATAATTGGGCATTTAGCAAATTATTTTGTTTGATATAGTAGTTATAGGTACTTTCTTCTATAAGTTGTTTTATATATCATTAAATTTTTATTTTCTAGAATTCTTAATCTATCACTTTGTAATTGTTTTGTAAATATAATTAATTATCAACATAATATTTTGATTTCTCATCACATTAATATGACTGAATTTCAAGTATAATTACTAAATACAAATTAATTAATAAAGATTGTAATAAATTTCTAAAACTTATGTAATTTTTGTGTTGTTGGTTGCATTATATTATTAAATATTAAGAGTGCAAAAAATAACTTACAGTTGAATTTCTATATGGACTTCCTTGAGGGTTATATCCAGGCATAGGTCTTGGCGGCGGCCAGCCTGGAGCCGGCCCATATCCTCCTGGCGGTTGATCATAACTATTAGGATATCTATGTGGTGGCGCACCACTTGACTGTAGTAACGAGTTAAGTGTTGGCGTGGGCCCTGGCGCCTGTGACACCGCTTGACCCGGGAAAAAGCGCGGTTGCTGCGGCGGAGGCCGCGGTTTACCGGGAAAACCGGGTCGCGGCGCGTAGTAAGGGTCCGCACCTTCTGGATAACGATATTGGCCGTATTGGTCCGTCACTGGCCGTTCTCCGGGTCGATCGTGACCGGGCACCTCGCCACCGTCGCGCGGTTGCCCTGAATCGGCCGACATAGGCGATTTGCTCTTTGTGTTCACGACGCCATCGGGCGGAACGCGCCCGATGGACTTGTCGGTCCCGTTTTGTAATAGAGCGTTTCGAGATTCACTGAGCTGCTCCGATGGACTCTGCTCTACGTTTGTTTCGCTACGCTGAGACTCAGCCTGCGTCGCAGCCATGTTCGGCTGGTAGCGACCGTCCCTGCTTTAGCGATCGACCGGCTCGCTTACGTTACATCGAAATCGGGCGTCGGATTGCAAAACCGCGACGCGGACACTTCCATCACTATTAAGAAGAATAACTACGCACAAATTGTAACACGAAACGGACGAAAAATCGTTCACCGACGCACACACATCGATCACATATCTACTCCATTGGCGTAAACGAGGTTAGGGAAAAGGTTACATCTAGCAGGCAATTTTGTCACGTTATAACAGAACATTTCATATCACTTTCACGTTTGTAACACTTTGGCTGCTATCACTTAGGGAAAAACTCATTCTAAGATGTAAAAACTATACGAATATTTAAAAACAGAACAATAGAATCACGAAACTTCCAAATTATTAGCGTCCGCCATTAAACGGACTTGAAATTCTACAGCGCTTGTCGACGCTTCTAGCTATGTTCACTTCGGTTATAAAAAACAAAAATATTAAAATAAAGATTACCGGTAACAAGCGTTAATAACAGATAATTTATTTTGAAAATCCTATTCTCCTAAAACTAAGTTTTCTTATTTCCATACACTAAATACGGAATAATATATTATACGATATCTGTACATGTTTACATTTTTGTACTATCGCGACCACGTAGTTACTACAATACTACCAACGTTGCAGCAAAAATATATGACAAGTTCCGGTGGCGCCAAGGCACTAGTTGCTGTCTTCAAGATGTTGCTAAAAATACTTTTTAGATTAGTATAAAACTTAAAATTATAAATTATCAATTAAATTACTTTAATATAGGTTTTGTAATTTGTCTGATCTTTGTAATCTCATAATTCTTTTCAATGGACTTTATTATAGTTATATATTTAATCAATCAGTTTACATTGCATTACCAACATAATAAGTAGAATGATGTAAAAATTACAAAAATATATATTAAATAGATAGCGAAAGAGAAAAAATATAATTCACAATAAAAGTATATACTATATATATATATATTAACAATAATAAATGAGTGTATAAAAATAATTGCTTACAAATTTATTTTTTATTTGTATATGATGATGATTATGATAAGGGTTGTACGTAACAGGAGAATACCAACACTGATACTTCTCAATCTATGGACCGCAGAATAAACAAATACTATTCTTAGTCTATGTATATTAATAGCCGACGTATCTTAAAATAAGAATAATACAGTGGTCTCTATCGTGCAATTATATAGTTTGAGTCGTCAGTTGCATATTCTAAATTACAAAATTTAATATTATTTCACAAAAACAAAACTTTAAAAAAGTATTATTTTTATGTATATCCATTCTATTTAAAATTAATTTTCATACAGGCTTGCTTTCTTTGCATCCTGGGGTATATATATTAAAAATATTGTTTTCAGAATTAACAACTCTTAACAACTCACTGTTAAATTAAATTGAAATATTAATTATAAAGATAGGTTTAAGGCAATAATATCTCAAAATTGATAATACTATTTTAATTTATAGGTACTATACTATGTTTAAGGCGTAGGAATTCAGAATTTTATTTGGAGTAAATGCAATACTTTGTTTTACCGATAATATTTTAATAGTTTTTTATTGCATTTGAAGAGTGTGTAACTTGATAGTTTTATCCTTTTTATTTGTCATATCCAAAATCCAATTATTGTACATGTAATCTCTAGTTTATTTTAATCTAATTTTTATCGCTTATAAGACAAAGAAGACTGATTAACGCAACATCTCTGTCTTACTAGCAGAAGTTACAATATAAGGTAGCATCATAAAATAGTTTAAGCCATTGACCGTGTACAAAGCCTTTGTGGTGAAAAACCTTAGTGATTTAAATTTTTGAAATTAAACCGTTATTTTCTTTTATGTTTACGCTCTTTTTGCGAAATGTTAATGCGGCTCCTTTGGATATATTTATTGGTGTTATTATTTTACGACACTTCATCAAAATTATAACAGAAAAGTTTGGGCCTTCATTTCTCGGATTTTAGAACACAAAATTTAGACTGGAATACGTATATATCAGTCATGACTTAAATTCGAATACTATATTCTACTGTTCGTAATATTAAAATTCCTTATACCATGCTAATATTAATATTATAAAAGCGAGTTTGTCACCTTTAACGCTTTAACGACTATGTGGGATGGAGCGGATATATTTATTATTTAAATTATTAGACAATAGATGACGCTGTATTTAATGTCGAAAACAATAAAAAACTGTTGGGTTTCTAAAAAAAGGCCTCCGATGATGACTGTTTTTGTCGCCGGTGTGGGCAATATCAAAGATGTGACCAGGTAGGCCGTGGCAACCCTAAGGTCTGTATTGATGTTGACCCACATTTATAGAACTCTATAAAGATTCAAAAACTATAGTTTTCAGCTTAGTACTGCAATTGTTGTATCAATAAACAACAATTTTAAAAGCACTTTGATGCTTTTGAATTTTAGCGGTATCGTCATAGCGTCATATATTAAGAGCGTCCTATAAAACAATTGATTTGTTTTCATTATATAATGATGGTGACATGCTATGAAATTTTATGTACAAAATTCTACGGGAAATAATAAACACGACCATCGGTTTGTAATGTCATAAATAAAACAAGTCCTCGCATATTTAAAACTGTTTTATTTTCACATTTTTAAAGACATGTACATGATTCATTATTGTTATTAATGTTGCAAAAATATTTAATCTTTACCAATTTTTAAAATGCTTTTCCTGAAATAAATGTTAAATTTCATATATCCAAATAAATTTTGATCTACAAATCAAATTATTTATTGTTATTTTAAGTTACAACTATTGAAGCATATATAAATGAAGGTGGATCTGTACAATACGAATTCATTAAATTATATTGTAAATTATAGGCACAGTTCCAGCGATATACACGAATAACTGACAACTATCGGCACCATCGCATTGATGTTACTATCAATCTGAATATGACGAAGCTAGTGTTAACAAAATGTTTAAAGTTGCCTTGTTTTTGCTATGGGTTTACTGTTCAAGTCAGGGCCCTATTTTAATATAAAAAAAAAAGTACAGAACCCATAAAAACGAAGTATATTCTTGTCCAGTTCCCTAGACATTCAGTGGAGACAAAATTGGTCAGTCTCTCGTTCGTGGAGGCTTACGTAAACGATCGATGAATTGGTTCAAGTCCATAATCTACAATGTACTTTTTGTCCGTTAAAATAAAGCAAGTGGACTAGTATTGCGTAACGCTACGGGTCCATATTTATCCATAGCTAATAGAGCTCAAATTCTGGACGCGTAAATTGCATTAATTATTGGATTTCATGTGCTTTATTAATCACAGTTAATTATCTGAATATGGCGATAAAATTATAAAAATGAGATAGGTACTACATGGAGTCCACTTGTTTCAAACATGGATTCCGTCATAAAGAGCGATATTCTCTGTCAAGGTCAAAGTTAGCACTGGTATGAGGCCCGACATACTGATTAAAATTATTGTATCTACGCATCAGAATTGAACCCCTTTTTGCCAGTAAGCATACATCGCGCGGACTGTATAGTTACACGTGAAAATAAGGCGTTATAAACATAAAACATGCTTTAATTTTAATTGAGCGAGTAATAACATCATATGCCAAATATATATAATTCATTTTCGTTCTAGTAACAAAGTAGTATTTATTTAATTATAAAAGACTATAAAAAAGAACATAAATTAGTTATGGCATAAAATTATATCTAAATCATAAATCTCATATATAACCTAATTTAAGTACAATGATCACGGCGTTTCCCATTCAAAATAAATGTTAAAGAAATGTGATGTAAATTGATCCAATTCTGACCCAGTCACTGATTATTACCTTAATTTGAACATTGTGCATCTAAAGCTAAGTCCACAACGCCCAAATGTAACAAAACCAAAACTAAATGGCTAATAATCATGAAAACTGTGCTTCCATAGTCAGAAATTAATGGCACAAATCTACAATTATTAGTTATTTGGTTTTTATTTTGTTGGATTTTGTCACTATGGAAATGTCTTAACTGTGATAGAATCACTTAACATTATGAATAGCTTGCAAAAATATTATATATCAGTAAAATGCCAAGTCTGAGAACATTCAACACTGGAGACGACATAATGATTAAGACATATCTGCACTGAAAGCAATCAAAACAAAGTTTTATTCAATTATTGTGAATCATATGGTCGAAATCTTATACAAGATTTGCTATGTTTTAAAGATATTTTATTACATTTCTATTCTAACAAAATATTCAGTTATTTTTTGCAGAAGAGAACAGAAATTATTTTAATAGGTAAGTAGAAGTTTATATTACATCCGCAAAGCTGAAATTTTTAAATTGTGTCTGCCATGTTGAATGCTCCAAGTCAACAATATTTAAATTTAGATGTTTATATTTTCATTTCATAAATGGATAATATCCTACAACATCAAATCCATTGTTACCGTATCTCACTTAGGTATAACATTAAATTTCGATATGCCACTATCAAGTTTATACTTTCTGTATTAATACTGAAACAGTCCAATTTTTGCTTAATTATTCTACACTAGACGAGTTTATAAGGCAAACATTTCATATTCTCCATGTATCTATTATTGACATATTAAATTTAGAGAGTACAGTACATCATGTATTATGTAAGCGTAACGGGTAGACTACATAAACTCAATAGTATTAATGCAAACTCGGTACAAGGAATATGAGTCGAAATTAGAAATATTTTTGGCATAATTAATCATAATGTAGGTATGATAGGTAGATTATATAGTTAAAAGTTTCGTAGGCACACGTAAGTTAATTATTACATTAAAAAGATAGGTAGATTGGTTGGTTGGTAGGATAGTAAATACATAGATTTAAAAATTAACTTCAAGTTTCGACTACAGGGTATAGATACATATACTTGAAATCATACATTATTTTTCTTTTCATATTTCTTGACTTATTTCGACTCAAGCTTTTTTTTTTTATTTAGGAAAAAAATTGTTTCACTGGTTTTCATTCCACCTTGAAATTGCTTAGTTTCAAGAATACTATTGTTAATTATAGCTACACCATTTACGTTACGCACTGAATTTAAAAAAAAATTATGTCAACGTGTTAAACACCATTTTAATTACTAGTTGGGCGTTAGAACACTAAATGGGGTATTTATTCGTTTAGAACTACAATCAAGAGGATCCGAATTCGTCCATCCACGTCAAATATTTCTGTATATCGCCTTTGGAGACGGATTTATTGCACTTAGCGAGGGCTTCCAGAAAGTCCTGTTTGGTGACCGGCAGGTCGAGCTCTTCCTTGGCAAGCTGCTTGATCTGTTCTGGCTTCAGACCGGCGATTTTTCGGCGCATCGACATCATTGAGGCATCCCTGAGAACGATGGAAGTTTCGAATATTAACACTAATATAGATATATATATAATTATAGCTATTATCATCATCATCATCACCATATCAGCATTTAATTGCCCACTGCTGAACATAAGCCTTCCCCTAAGAGAGTTTTGCCAGTAATTAGCATGTTTGTCAGGTGGATTGGCAACTGCAGTTAGGTTTTGGAGATGTTTTAAGAGGAATGTTGCTGCACATCCTTCGCCCTCCGTTAGTCGCCTCTTACGGCACTCACGGAAAAGGAAGGGGTAGCCTACTCTATGCGGAAACCACAAGGGATTTTTATACAACGACAATTATACTATATAAAATTGTAATTAATCAATTACAAAATATTTGATTCTTATCCTTGCTAATATCTGTATGTATATTATAATCGTTATTTTATGTTATTTATGTCTATATTATTTATTGTATTTTAACGAAGAAGGACATAGGCTACTTTTAATCCCAACCTATTAGTGTATTTCGATAACAAAGACGAAATAAACTCAATTAAAAGCAAAATTTGTAAGAACAAGGTTAATAAGTGGCAGTGAAATTATTTTGAAACTTCTGTTAGTAATAGTGGTGGTCACTCTTTGAATATTTGCAGTTACACACATACTAACGGTAGCGGAGTTAAACAAAATAATTCTAATTAAATAACCAGTAATATGAATTTCAACAAGATAACACCTAGTTAAGTAAAATCATTTTTTTTTATTTTGCCAAAATACGGTCAATATTCAAACAAAATAAAAATATTTTCACTTCATAAATTACACTAAAAAAAAGATATGTAGATAAACATTATATGCAGCGTTTTTATACCAACCTACAGACATTCGTTATATCTGCGCCTGAGTAACCCTCTAATTTTCTAGCAATATATTTTAGATCTACTTCGGGGTCCACTTTTACTTCTCGTAAGTTGATTTGTAGCAGCGCCTCGCGACCTTCCTGCGTAGGTAGAGGGATGTAGATGCGCTTTTCAAGTCTTCGTCGCAGCGCTTCGTCGATGTCCCATGGGAAATTCGTTGCTGCTAACACCATTACTACCTGTAAGTGAGAGTTGATTACAATAAACTATGGGACTAAAATAAACATTTATTTCACATTTACCTATATAAGTCATCTCACTAAAAAGTATCCAAAAGAGAATCTGTGTTTGTATTTAACTACCTAAGACATTAACTCAGTACTAGAGACAATATAGAACAAATTGTTATAATATTTCAAAATTATATGTCAGAAATAAAAAAAAAAATCAAAACAACGTTAATTATCAATTTTCTAAATAACAGTTATCTTGGATACATTTTGAAAGAATAATAATTCAAATCTTTCTCGATATAGGTATTTATAAAAGATTTAGTTTAATAAATTCCTTTAGAGAAACCATAAATCATAACCATTATCATTTTGTATTAAGTGAGCCATCAGATTATTTACAATTTCATTATGCATATAAAAATCTGTTGCATAGCACGATATCATACAATTTTATTCAACATTATCAAATCAGCCGTTAACTGTTCACTGCTAAATATAGGCCTCTCCCGTAAAGGGGTGTTTTTGTCAATAGTTGCCATATTTGGCATGCGAGTTGGCAACAGCAGTTAGGCTTTGGTGACGTTATAAGAGGGACGCTGCTGCCCGTCTCTCGGACATAGAGTTCTCTTAGTCGCCTTTTAACGACACCCACGGTAAAAAAAGGGGTGGCCTATTCTATGCTGGAATCATACGGCAATTTTATTGTCATAATACAATAGCAGCAAAATGTACAAGCAATTATTTAAGCAGAAAAATACTTGTACAAAGTCTCTTTTTAGACTGTACAAACCTCAATATTTCTTAACTCGCAATTAAGAAGTTGATACAGCAACCTCTGTTCTTGTATTGGAGTGTCATCTTACCTTTGCGGGTTCGTCGGTAGCGGATCCTAATCCATCCATTTGCACAAGCAATTCTGACTTGACCCGCCGCGACGCTTCGTGCTCGCTGTCAGAGCCGCGCCGTGAGCATAGCGAGTCTATCTCGTCGATGAATATTGTGCTTGGCGCGTAAAACCGAGCCTGCAAATTGATATTCATTAATACCTGTATCTTAATATCTAGCTAATCGTCCCGTCTTCGCACGGGTAGATAGATATAAAATTGGAAAAAAGGCTTGTTGATAATGAAGACTAAGGAGCCCCATTGCTAGCAATTTACCCAACCAGGTCGACCTCTAGGGAACCCTTGGAAACCACCGTGCAGAAAACCTGGTCGTCTAGACAAGTGGTATGCGAGTTTGTCGATGGAGTTGACATCGCTGGACGGACTGTACTGTTATCCCGCCAGTAAATACCAACAGAGCAGGCGGGGTTACCATTCCATCATTATCCATTAAAGATATCTAATTTTTAATAATATTTGTCAAGTTGATTTTTAAAATTCCTGTGTAGCTCTATACAATACCTGGTTTCTCATGACATAGGACAACCTTAGTTTGAGGATAATGCGTGGCAATATAATGCAAAATAATAATTTTACCATTTCAAACAGCAACCGGACTAACTTTTCCGATTCACCGCGGTACTTTGAAGTGAGAGTGGACGAAGAGACATTGAAGAAAGTGGTGCCGCATTCCGTGGCGACAGCTTTCGCTAGCATTGTCTTGCCAGTGCCGGGTGGACCCACCATTAGCACCCCCTTCCATGGCCTTCTGATGCCCTGTAATAAAAAATAAACCATATCAATTATTTCTGACATTAAAACTGGAGCAAACCTTACCGCTAAATTACCACATAATTAATTATATGGTATCATTTATTGTAATAATTTGCCATATGGCCCAGGTATAGAATAGGGCATCTCTTCCTCTCCCGTGGTTGTCGTAAGAAGCGACTAAGGGAATAATGATTGCGGAATTGGCAACAGCATGCCTATTAAAACGAAATGTTTTAAGAAAGCCTAATTGCGCTTGCCAACCCGCCTGCCACGCGTGACAACTACTGGCAAAAACCCCCTAAAAAAATAAAATGGTATGGTATTGATTGTAATTCATGATAATCATCTTACTACCCTTATCCCAATTATTATTTGGGGTCGGCGTAATATATTTTTTATCCATATTACAAAAAGATTTGGTTTATAGTTTCATAATTATAGAACAAGTTGATATTTAAACATTTTACATTTCATATTTTACTTTTCAGGTTTACCATCAAAAAGCAAAATATAGTTGAAATATACTAGACGGAATATGGCCATGTCGAGTGTTCCTATCACCATAACATTTGAGAGATTTTTTTTTAATAAAAATCGCATATACTGTTTTTATATCATTAAGTTAATGTAACCTGCTAAATAATGTATTCTTCAAACAATAAACTTACTTTGAAGAAATCCGGCATCCACATTGGCAAGACTACTGCTTCCTCTAACAATCGTTTGGCCTCTGTTAAATCAGCAATGTCATCCCACCTTATGTTTGGGTTCTTTTGTACAATATCCCTTTCTGAAAAATAAAATTTTATTAAAAAAAAAATATGCTTTATTATAAGGAAATTATTATAAGGTACAACAATATAATAAAAAAAATTAATAAGTCCAAAAATTATGGCATTTGTTAGGATGAAACATTGAGAATTTTCGCTATTCAGCGTTCGATTTTTATATATTTATTTACCAGTATGGCGGCAAATAAACTATGGCCAGTTTGATGGTAAACAGAGTGACTATAACCTATTGACGCCTGTAAAATCAAGGATATCACGTGCGATTTGCCTTCCCTTAAGAAACCGTATTGCGTCCTTTTTGTATTTTATTAAAAGAGAGACTGGCTGAAAACCAACGCTATGCAGCTGTATACATTGCACATTGTCATAGCATCAGTTGAGCCAGTTCCTTTTGGCTAATATGAGACACTTCTTATATATGTAATATGTTTGTATTTTTTTTTATAATTGTGTTTTCTGGCAATAAATATTTTCTATTCTATTACATTCAATTGTAAAAATAATTATCTATCAATTATTGGCAAAAATACAGACAAATAAGAGACTGCATCTTTTCGAAATTCAATTAAAAACAAAGGCGTAAAATTGCAGACACTCCAGGAAACAGACATTTTGAACCCGAGCGATTAGTAACACAGGTCAATGCTATTTACAATGAATAGTCAATAACCGATTAGACGGATCGCATGAAATTGTGATTCGGTTGTTACATGTGAATTAATGACGAATGTATGTGTGAACGGTAAAAAACCCGCTTTACAAGAATAAATAATAGGATTTTGAATAACCCGTCGAGTTTAATAGGTCTCTTGCATTGAGGACGTCATATTAACGGACTTGTACAATTTTATTAGTTTGTTACACGAAACGAAATCTATTGTGTTCACTGTAATACGGATTGAGTGTGAAGATAGAAATATTTTTGCATTATCGTCAATAACAAAATAGAAAAATAAACACTAATTTATCAGACTACGCCATCTAGTTTCAAACTAAGTAGAGCATTGTAAGACAATTATACTTGTAGCCCTTTTTTAATATTTGTACACCAATACAAACATCTATAGAATACAATGTGTATTTATTTAAATAAACTTGTTTACATTGGGTTCGTAATGTTGTTAGCTGACAAGAAACCCGTAGGAATTTCAGCAGTTACATGCTTATAATATTCGGATTGTGGAGGACAGAGATTATTAGTAATCGAAGTCACAATTGGAAGATCAGTGCGTTGAATACCACTAATAAGTAACGATGGCCAATATGTAGCAATATCTATATATTGTAATTACAATATCAATACATATATACAAAGGGTGAGGACAAGCACCAACAACATTCTAAAAGTAATAGGCGAGAAATATAACTCGCCTATAATCGGGCATTTCTTTTAGATGCTGATCTAGTCGGCTGGGTCACATCTGAGTGAACTGCTTTAATTAATTTGCTTTTTTGCTTTTCTTTTTTAGTAACATAGTTTGTAAGAAAACTGTTACTAACAAAATAAACCAAATTGTAGTCTGATTAATAAAGTATTATTATTATTATTTAAATTTCTAGAAAATTCACATCTCCCCTCTTAAGGAGAGGAAATGGCAAACTAACCCCCGGCAGCAGCACGGTCGGCCGGGGTTCAGGGCCCCAGGGAGTGAAACCAGCGTACAATGCTGACAGTATCTAAGAGCATCGCTTTCTGCATCTTTCTCGGGAGTGAGCCGCCTCGAAAATCCAACCGTCTAAGATGTTGTTCCAGACTGGTTGGGATAAGACCGTTCACCGACATAACGATTATTATTATTATTACATTAGCCCAATAACAAATATATTAAGCATCGGTTATCCAATATATAATATCCAAAAGAAGAACCCGCTTTTAATGAATATAAACATCCGACTGGTATATGCGATATTGCAATGGCTGTTCATCAATGTTCAGAATAACTCAATATATAGATATCAGATATTACCCATGTCTACTAATAAATTATACGAGTAACTCACCAAGCATATCGACTAGGTCCCCATCAGCGGCGGACGGTGGTTCGAACCGCCTCTCTTCCTCTTTGTGCTTTTCGTCGTCCGTGTCACCATTGTTATTTTCCCTGTCCTGTTTGTCCTTGCCGCCCCCGCCACCGCCGTGGTCTTTGCTGCTTGAATCTTTTGTTTTAGCTGGAAATAACACAAGCATACTACAAAAAATGTAGAGTATTTTTAAATAAAGTGTCATACAATCAAATCTATTGTCTTATCTTTAAATTTTAAAGTGCTATACATCAAGGTTTTCTCATATTAATAAAACTGCAATGTATGTCAGTGACATAGTTGTTTTTTAGATGGAAACGAGATACCTCGAAACGTTCCTATTACTAGGGCGAACATAAGAAAATCTGAAAGTGGCGTAGCTTTGAAAATAACACAGTCCGATCGATTTAACTCAAATGCGTACTCGTAGAGGATTGCGTGTAATAGTTTATCTGTTTCTCAAAAGTTGACTATAAAAGATCTCTCGAAGGGATAAGTCCAGTTTCTGTGAGAATTTCAAGAAACTTAATAGATATATATATATATATATATATATATATATATATATATATATATATATATATATATATATATATATATATATATATATATATATATATAGAGAGAGAGAGAGAGAGAGAGAGAGAGAGAATAATAATAATTAATAGCACATAAAGAAGGTTCATGCCAGATACTTTAAACGAAAAGCAACTCTGGTTCAAAGACAATAAAGAACAATCTAGCGCGTAAATACAAAGTATAAAGTCACAAAGACTTGTCTGTAATCCGTTTTTCAAGATACTAATTAGTAGGCGAGTGGAAAAAATATATACTGACCACTATGCGCTTTATTTGCTGCTAACTTGGGGTTTCTGACGTCAGAGCTCTTTCGTTGGGAGGTGGTGGGATTCCGTTGGTTGCCTGTTGTTTTTTTATCTGTCCGTGTGTTCCTGGGATTGTTGCGGGCTGACTTCATGGCTGGAGGTCCTCTGTTGAAATATAAATCAATATTATATACTGGAGTTATTTATAAATTTATATATAAATTCTGTTTGTGGAAGTGAAAGTGAGTTTGTTTTTTTTTTTGTTACTTTTTAGCACCTTATTGGGCTAACTATCCTTATCATGAAATTTGGTATACACGTACTATATGAGATGTAGAAGGACATTATGTGACTATTTATGTCGATCAATCAACATATCCTAATCACGCGGGGAAAAGCGATTCTTTCCCAATTTTTTTTGCTACTTGTTAATCGTGGGCCTTGTAGTTCATGGTTACCATAACCTTGAATGCTTGTTGCATTGTCGACCCTATAAAAATATTTTATTGCCCTTTTTAAAGAATTCCATACTGCAAATCTTTTGGGAAAATCTCGATATAATCTCGATTCACAATTTAAGTTATGGGGTTAATGCACTGTTGCTAGGGAACTGTGCGAGAATAGAATGAAGTAGCATATATCACGTCAAACAAATGCCTAAATCATAAACGTCGTATATGGGGGGAGAAGGGATTGTTAGTATTGGTGAATAGCAGCTCTATTCCTAGCAATTTACTCTGCCAGGTCGTATCATACTTAACGCTACATACACTACATACTTAACATACTAACGCGACTCAGGCGCGCACTCGCATTACAGTCGCTCATGATTAAGGATCTCGAATTGATCCCGAAACTAGTCGAGCTGTCTCGATCTAATTACGCGTAAGTTAAACTGGTAGTTATTACATTAAAAGAGAACATTTTAATAGTCAACCACGGGAATATAAAGCATGGGGTACTAACTTGTGTTCGACACTGGTGGGCGGTGGCCATGCATTGGGGTCCCTGTCGGGCGGCGGTGGCCAGATGTCGGGGTCGAGCTCGTGCGGCGCAGGGCCCCATATCTGATCTCGTGTTGGCAAGTCTTCGTAATCTGAAACGGAAAATTTCAACTTGTTAACTAAATAATAAATTGTTAATATTTATTAGTTGAGATATAAATGTAAAGTGCCACACACAAGCCTGAGAGCTTCAAATTGTGCTAAAATTAAAGCTATGATTGCATGTCTGTGTTTCAGATTGAAGGGATGGGGATATGACAGTAGTATTATACGATATCAGCCGTTAGCTGTCCACTACTGGGCATAGCGCTCCTCCATAGATTGTCAAAAGAAACGGTCCCAAGCCACTTGCATCCATTGCATTGAGGGAGACTTTGTACAAAAGTCGATTGCTTGGGTACCTCTATCCCATTCGTGTTTCAACCGTGAAGCAGTTGTGTTTGCATGGCTGTGTTTCGGTTTGAAGGGTGGGATATGGCGTGAATTTACTGGGTACAGAGGAATAACACCTGAGTCCTCAGGAATGGCAACGCATGAGGGGTATCATGGGCGAAACAGTATACTCTGTTATGTCCATGGTACTGCTCATGTCTATAGGCGACGGTTACCACTTTCCATCAGGTAGGCCGTCAGCTTGTTTGCTATTCTAAGTTGTAAATATATATATATATATATATATATATATATATATATATATATATATATATATATATATATATATATATATATATATATATATATATAAACCCATTAAGAAAGTAGTAGTAGCCCTTTAGACTGTGCTAAAATAGTAACAGTGAATGAATAAAAAAAATTTTAATAAAAAGGTGTGTTACGGATTGATATATGCATTGCAACAAATTTTGTTTACAGTAGATGAACTTTCAAGTGTCCCAATATGCACCACACATAATATTGTTTTACAATTCAGTGTACAGTTTTGCGCATGTCTAATTAGTGGGACAGGTGGGAATAAATCAATTCGTTACAGCGGGCACACGCAAAAACGGTCGAAAGTGGAACAGGCCAACAGCCCAGTAACACGTGAACAAACGGAACACAAACAGGCATATATACCTGCGTGGAATATCCGTTTACACAATACTAATGACCAGGCACGGCTTCGCGTAGCTTTTAAAAAAAAATTACAGTGTGTGTTACTATCTGATAATGTAGCTTTATATAGATGAAAGAATTTTTAAAATTGGTTAAGTATTTTTTAAGTTTATCCATTACAAACAAAACTGTTCCGTTTCATCACATGAAATTAAAATATACCGCTTATTGTAACAATTTAATAATATAATTAATCAATGAAGATAGTTCTCAAACCAAGTGTGTAATCACAGTAAAAATTAAAAAAAAAAAATAACATGTTAAAAGTTTACATAACATCTTTTGTATGTAAGTAATTGAAAGTCAAACTTATCTCACTGTCACGGTGGATTGCCTCTCGCGAGGTTGTTTATGAGTGGCTTATGTAAACGAGATATCAGTTGGAAAGTGTGGAGCCCGTGGTGACACCAACCACGGCACCGTTGGGCTGTTATCGATTCTTAGTAAATTTAGTTAGCAAGTACACGTGATGGTATTTCTTTTTAAACGACTGACAAAAGAAGGTTTTTTTGCAATTTTTATGCACGTATACGATGCCAATTCTGAATAATTTTTCTTAATTCTATACTAACGACCCTTTCCGAGTGTATTTTATATGTTAGAGCTACTAATTGATTCCAAAATTATCCTATATTTTAAAATGGAACCAACCAAAAAAAAAAAAAACAAAATCTACCTGTAAATACGAATTGTCAAAATTAAAATATTTTTATTTCAATACTAATTGACCCGGAAAAGGACGTTTTGCTACTCACCATTACTTACGAGGTCCTTATTTTATTATCGGAATAAAAACAATCTTATGCTCTCAAGTTCGAGCCCTCACAAGTACAATACATATTATTAAATTTTATTAAAACCAGTTCAGCAGTTTTCGAAAGTAGCGTGAATGACCATTGTGACACATGATTTTTTTAATTAGAAAAAAGTTAACGAAATTGGGTCGAAGCTTTTTTTTGCAGAGCAAAATGTACTTGCAATATAACGAATAAATTATTGATTCACCACTAAATTTGGTTATGTTGTGTGCTCATACACGTGACGTACAAGATCAATTTCTGGTAATGAATTAATGTGAGATTATTGTGTTTATTAAATGATGTGATCTTTTATTACTTTTATAGATTACATTTATAGATGGTGAAATAGAAATCTTACCGCCAGGTAAAAATTAATATTGAGTTTCACAAAAAAAAATAGCTACTTGTGGCAATACCAGTTTAGTAGTTTAGTTTTTAAATAAAAAATATTTAAAAACTAAACTATTGACTTTTGATACAATGTCTATGTCTATGGGACCAATCTGCAAATACAACCTTTTAGATAAAAAAAAAAAAAACATTTTTCAAATCGATTTACAAGCGACGAATTTATGAAAGAAAGAACATGAAAAAAAACAACTAAAATTAAATCTTCTTTTTAAAATCGGTTTATAAGAATCTATCTATGCTATAGAATATATAAGGACATGTTTTGGGTGAATAAAAAATTCAAAATCAACCAATATTATAAATTTCTCATACTAACTCAATAATTGAATGCGCTGTGGTAAACTCAACATTTTTTGTTGTTTTTAACCCATGAAAACCCTTCTTTGATGAAAATGTTGTTTTGTTAGTAGGACACTACAAAGAGCGATTACAATTTGAACCTATATAATCTATATCTTTCCATACGTTATTACTGAGACATGTAATGCAAAACCAGTATGTCACGTTTTCATGGTTGAATAATTTCTAAATAAAATAATTTCTTTTTATGAAACTTGAAATGGCAAACGAGCTGAAGACGGCCTATCTGATGGAAAGTGATTACTGTTGCCATTACCATAAGAATAAACAATTTTTATGATTACACCATACCATGACTATTATCTGTGGTCTTATTTTGGTTATACATATCATATTCTTATGGTTTATACTGAGCCAACTTTGTCAAAAATTTATAAAGATAGTCTGAAGTAGGGGTGACATCATTAGATAGACATTTATTAGTCAACACACTATAAAAACATAAAAAAAATAATGCTTTGCTTGGAATAATTTGCAGATACAATAATATCGTATAACTACTTCTTGTTCGAATGGATATATAGATATATATATATAATAGATAATTCGTTTCTAGACTTTTATGTCAGACCTTCAGAAAAACAACTGTGACCGCATCCAATTTAGTGCAGTAGTTTTTGCGTAATGCCAGAACAAAATACAAACAGGCAACATTATTATGGCTTCTGTTGCTCTCACACCAAGTGACAGATGTAATATCAGTTTTTCTTGTATCCTCTATGTACATACATCGGTTAGTTACAATTTTATTATATTACTAAGATATGAGTGGAACATTCTGCACTTTAATACAAAACCATTGACATTGACCCTAGTTAATCTTAGATAACACAGTAAATATGACGTATGATAGGTGCATATCAACGTTCATGAATAAATCACTTTTATTGCCATGTGTTAAGACACATATTTACAAGCGTCCCGATTAGTGTTGCCATATTTTGACGAGTTTTAGTGCGGAAGGCTATTGTAAACTGCTCTTGTAATACCGTAGAAACCAGATAGATTAAATACAAATTTTTACTAGTATTAAAAAAAAATGGATAGACAAAAAAAAGGGAGAGATTTATATAGAAATTCATATGCCTATTTTTGTTTATATTCCACCTAATGTTTCCACATTATAGACACATGTACGGTTAAAACTTTTAAAAATTATTAAATTCTAAATTCTTATTATTAAACTGTCCGTTCCACTGCCAATTTTATTATATCATAAAAATAACGTGTTTCAATCATGATATTATAAAAAGTAAGGAGACAATTACAGGGAATATAAAAGTTTACCGTTTGAGAGGTCATAATACTAGACATCATCTTGGGACTGTTAGAGACAAACTCGTTAATAAAAGTTACTTTTTAAGATGCGATCCACACAATGGCGCCGGTCTTAGATCACTATCAGTTTATTATAGTAGTAATAGTGTTTAATAAATACAATAGAAAAAAAAATCATATTCAAGTTCCATTAACTTAAAAATGATTATCTCTGCTTCGTGCTTCGGAGAGCACGTAAAGTAGCTATAAGTATCGAACATGGTCCTTCAAGCCGGATATACGTAAATATCTTTTATGTAATAGTTGTACATAACAAAACTGTTTTACTAATATAAAAAAAATAAAATAACCAGACGCTGTTTGTACGTAAGAGAAAGATATTAAGAAAAAGAATATAATACCATTAGAAGCCAGAATAATATTTTTCAATTTTTTATACATGTTTATTTTTACTTTAATTGATAATTTAATTTTTTGATGAGTTAATTGATATAAGGGATTTTAATAATTGCAATAGAATCCAAAATCAATCATTTTTAGAAATTTTGTCTGTCTTTATGTTTGTTCCGACATCATACAAAAACTATACCACGACACTGAACGTAGTTTTATTACAGAATATCTAACTTAAAATCGGGTGTATCAAGTTTTGTCTTGATCGGCCATCTAGAAATGGACATCTACTTCTGAAATCCATGCGTATGAAGTTGAGGGCAAAAAGTAGTAACATAATATACGAGTACATACGTGTTTTGCAGTACGTGTCATGCGTATAATTATAGCTGACAAATGACCACATAAATTGCTTATTTCAAGTTGACATACGCTTCGACATTTAAGGAAATACGACATTGGGAATTGTACATATTTAAAAGTAAACAGTAATCGATGTACTTTTGGAATACAAAACTATAATGAAAAAGGTGTATGTGCAATAAAACCATTTACTGTAATAATTAAACAAACTATTGATATACGTGCAGGTGGAAAATGTAAATAAAGCCCGCATGAACGTAAAATAACATTCTGTTAACTATGACGGTAATGCAAAAGTGGATAATGTCCCACACATTTTTAAGTTACTTCAAAATTGAGGTGTTTTTCATTCCCATTGTATTTTTTGTATGTTGCGCAATATCTTCGCTAATTTTGAATGGATTTTGATGATTATTTTTGCAATGGATAGGCTTTATCCAAGTGTCGATCCCATATTAATTATTATCATGATTAATAGATATTTTTTTTGTTTTTTGTAAAATGTTTAGAGATTGGCTCTGGGTTTTTAATTAAACTTTTAATTTTGTTAATATTAAGTTATTTTTTTTACATTGTCTTTAGCTTAAACATTTTATGAACCTCTTATATTTATAAATTTCAAATAATGATTTAATAATTCTCTATTCGGTTATATTTTTTTAGGTATGTTACATCAAAACTCCGTCGTTTATAAACTGATTCGGAAAATTCTTTTTTTATCAGATACAATATACTTTCAGATTGGCCCCATAAAAATTATATCGAAATCAGTTTAGTAGTTTAGTTTTTGAAAAACAAAATGTTTTGCCACAATTAAAGTTGTTATTTTTTTTTGTGAACAAATGTTAAGAGTCAATAAAATTTATTCTATTCTAGTCTCGTGGTCTCTGTATCCCAAATACATATATACATATGCTAAACAGTCTAACCTAGCTAGTTGTTTCTATGGTTTATGTCTAGTTTAGCCTAGAATAAATGTTTAAAGTTTTATAGTAAACAAATATATTATCGGCGTGAGTGAAGAACTAAATAACTTGATTTTTGTAGTATCGTGATAACAATGATTTTACGCCGCCGAAGTTACAATGGAAGATTCAAGATTCCAACATAGAACGAGGTAATGAAATATTCAAAACACACGAACTGCCTCTATTCTTTGGTCCGTTTCCATTAAGTGGACAATAAAGAGCTACGTTCGCGCGTCACAAGTCCTAAGTCGTAATCGGATCCGACCTTCGATTCAACATTCAACTTAAGGCTTCCATGTCATCCATTATGTCAGTTGACACAATAGCTGCTAATTGGAAACTCGACTCGCCTAAGATGGTGTGACGATAATTATCGAACAGGTTTCCTTTTTTAATTTTTATTAATTTTCTTTTTCAGTAAAATTTTTGTCTATATTGTTTTTTTTTGTTGTCTATTTTTTTTTTTACGTATAAATAAATTTTGCGCCACAAAAAAATCGACGTCAATCGTGAACGAGTTATTATTTAATAACCTAACTACTGATATAAAAATATAATTTACAAAATTAATTTATAATATATATGACGGAGTTCTGAGGTTAATCAAATATAAAAAAATACAATCGAAATGAAAACTTCCTTTTTTAAAGTCAGCCAAAATTGAAATGTTCGTAACTGTCTGATTTAATGACTTTAAGTGAGGGGCAAAAAGTTTGGACAGGATAACGTCGTTGATAATCACTTAAAAACGGATGGAGCGATTTGGCTAATTTTTTTGAACATTATTAATAGTACTTTTAAACTTTTTAGGGAAAGAAAAAAATCAGAATTTATACAGCTAGTTACAGTTAATAACTAGTGTTTCGTGAGGTCTTTTTAAGTCAATTTATACAAACAAATATTACATGGAGATCATACGAAATCGTCTGCACGGGCATCTTTCTGCCCTCGTTTGTTTTTTCTTATATCCATCTCGCTCATTTCTGCCTATAAGCAGCTTTACTTGCATAGCCGTTATATAAAAAGTAAAAAGATATAGCAGTGTAATTACTGGATAATGTGACTCAAACTCTTCATATTATTGAGTTTGAAGAAATAAAAAAAAAAAAATAACAATTGAAGAATATTACCTTCAATGATAAACACATATTACTTACGCATTAACATTTGAATTCGATCAGAAAGATGTGACCTCGCAGGGTCACAGTACTGAAGGTTGCATCACCTTCAGCGCTGTGCTCTTTGAGATTCATTATCATACTATACAATTTATAATAGACTAGCTGCGAACACAAGTTAATTCTTCTGGTGTTAATACACATGTATTAATGCGAGTGAGTTATTATGAATATAATTCACACACAAATGTATTAACAGAGGTATACAAATGTTTAGGTACAGTGTCTATCTAATTTATCCACTACATTAAGTTCTGGGTCTTTAAAATAGGGTGTATTTCCTCGATAACCCTAAATTAGATTACTGGATTAAATTTAGGGTTCAGTCACGTCACGTCTGTAGGCAACAATTCCCATTTTCTTACATTTCAGCCTGTTCTTCGCTTTAAAACTTCAAGGACTCAAAATTATAAAAGAAAATGTACCACTTATTTTTTTTATTTTGTTGTGATTTTTCGGTATGTTTATTTGTATTGTTATTCTACATAGAGGAAACCATTGGAAAATGAAATAATACGGATAAAACCGCCTACTGCTTACGTTAAAATTTTGGAAACACTATTAGCATAAGCGGGTACACTATTCCATTTACATTACATACAAAAGCAAGTAAAGTGTGAATTGAATTCACACGTTGAAAGTTCCGTACATATAAGATAAAATAACCGTTATTGTATTTTCTTTACAAAAAAGACACCTAATTATTATTATTGAATGACACTATAATTCGGAATTTCTTAAACATTACAATTTTGGTTACTTATTGGACGGCATAACTAAGTTTGTTTCGAAGATTTTTTGATAATTTTCCAAAAACTGTGTTAGTTGAAAACATAGTTTTATTTTTCCTATAATATTTACATATACCACTATAAACTTTATCAGATTTTTTGCTTCACAAACTGGAATTAAGGGAATGGTATTTTTTCACATTTATGAACATATTTCAAAAACTTAGAATTATAAAAATAAATAAATACCGGGCTTAAACTGTTCAAATAGAGCTCTTTAATATGATTTAAACACACACACTTAGATTAGTAAATTCAATTTTTAAATTATATATACTCCTTTTAAATCTCCTAGGAAAGAAAACAAAAATATATCTTTCAATTAGTTCTATTGCAATATGTGAGGGCTAACAATATGTAAAATTGTATTCCAAATTTCAAATCGATAACATTAGTAGTTGCTTAGATATAGCGCTATGACGGACGGGTGGACAGATAAAGTCATAAGGGTTTCTTTGTACAGAACTCTAAAAAGGTAATCAATAATATGCGCATTACCACCACATTATAACCATAAAAAATCGAACTTTGAAATACGTTTTGCAATATTGAAACATAATGGCTATAAGTATAAATAAAATAAGACATCATTTTCCAAATAAGCATAGTGCGTGGGTTTACATCATAAGAGCATGTAAATTAGATTGTGTACACGAGTTTTTGTTAGATCCACTACGAACTAAATATCACGTAACTGACGTATTCGTATCACAATAATTAATATATCGATACTATAGATACAATACGGAAATACATATATAGTGCAAAAGGCATTGGTCTAGCGCGAAATTACTTGAGATAATTTCATGCTCTGTATACGCTGATCTATTTCGCGGACCAATTTAATTTTAATGAGTCATAATCTTTATACGTAGTGTTACAAGATGTAAAGAAGAAAATTCCTGATTAAGGACCTGCAGGTCTACTCTTGAATCTAATATCGATATCAATCCGATCTATTGCCAATGACAATTTTGTACTGCACTCATGAAACAACAATTAGGAATCAGGGTAGGCAATTTTGCTTTGGCAAAATACACTAATATGCTAGATGCATCAATCATCAATCAATCAGAACAATATGGAAAAATTATGTTGCTAGTATTGCAACTCGAAAGTACGAAAAGTTTGAATTCCAAATATCAATCTATTGCAGTTTATTTGAAGAGTAGTTCTCATAAAACCTGTATTTTACAGTGTTACATAATTATATTTTAAACCTGAACCTAACTTAAGATGCGCTAAATAATAAACCAGACAACAAACTACGGATGGCTCAAACCACCCAGTACACCCAGACCGGGCAAGTTTATAAGTTAGACACTTTATTTCTTAAAATGTCTTGACAGAGAACCGATTCCGAGGCGTCTTTCATCCATAGCAAGTTATCCATCACTTTGCCAAGGATAAAGTTCTTATTGATGTAACGAACCTTAAAATATACATATACATGTTTTAAAAGGAGCAAAAATCTTCTAACAAAAACTATTGGGATAAATCGTTCTAAACCTATGTATATAATCTACAGGATTATGTACATAGGTTTAGAAATAAGAATAGTAGTAATTGTTTTGAATCTAATAGCGTTCGACATGGAAGACGGGGGACTATCCCGTAGACTTTCTCTGGCAATGTCAAAAGATTATCACAGAACATAATAATGATCGAATTAAACACGACGTAAATCGATCGATAATTAAGTTCAGTATAAAATTATAGGCATCAATATATGTCTCAAGTTTAGAAATTTCTTCGAAAATTCTACAAAGATTTGTTTGTGAAATGCACTATTTCTATTTCCTATATCTGGTACAAAAAATATTCTTGTGGTACTTACTTCCCGACAGAGGCGTAATAGCTTTTTCCCCTTCATGTTGGAACATTTGCAGTGTGGCCACCGTCGCCTTCAGTTGTTCATATTCACGGGCCATTTGCTTCTGTACCTAGAAACAAATACAATTACGTTAACACAAATTTATTTAGATAATTTAATTTAGGAAGTCAATACGACTATGGATGTATTGTCGTAATTTCAATTAATGATCGCAGCTTGTTTGCCATTCCAATTTCCAAATAAAGAATTCGAAATTAAAGACATTCGCGTAAGAACAAGTGTTATCATACAGATCGAAATAAAGATGAAGCAGGATTAGTCTGATCATTTAATTCGAGAATTTAGGTAAATGTCGTGATCTTGAGTTGCTTGACTTGGGAATAACCTCTGTTTTCAGAAGATCCAAGTGAAATAAATGCAGAGGAAAACAATTGGAAAGCATGGAGTCGTTCTTAGAATAAGAACAAGCAGACATAGATATTGTAGATAAATTAATATAATAAACAATTAATCATAAATATTTTTTTGGTCTTCAATATCAGATCACTTCTAACTTTCCACCTCATTGTACAACTAGAATAGTTATAGAGAAAATACATCATTTAATAAACATTAAAAAGTAAAATGAAATTATAGTTGATTCCGAATAGGTAACATTTAATCGATCCAAACTATTAAAGGACGGGTTACTCGAGGTTAACTTGCTTCATTACACGCGTTGTAATGAACAATTTCCTACCATTACAATTTTCTTGCAAGTAAAGGAGACTACAATGAATAACTCACACATCAACACATCACAATGGTGGTAAACGGAACGCAATGTACCGAGTAAATCGAGAATTCAAGCGTGATTTCCAAGAACCACATAAAAAGCGTCACACATCATCTAAAACGGAAATTGATACGTCACAGATAGAAATTAATGGCTGTGGTGTGGGCACAAAAGTGAAATTTCGATATCTCACGCGATAATCACATTATAGTCAAAGGTACACAACAATACGTCATGCGTTCTCTAAAGAAAATTCAAAGAGAACAACTACGGTTACCGCGTTACATGTTGATTTTGAGTTTTCACCCATTTTCAATAGGTACCTTGACCCACTTTCATAAGTCATGGAATCGCTAATCGCACGATCTGAATAATATGCGAAGGTCGTTGTGCGTTAATTAAAACAACCACCCACGTAAATGACAAATAATAAGCACCTTTCGTTTCCTGAACCGTATACGGGATTCTGTACTTTACACCGATAAATTTAAGGTTTACAATTGGTAATGGATTTTTTTAAGATAATTAAACACAGTTCACCCCAAATGCGTCATTAGACGGCCGATATTCCATTGAAGCAAGTTCGACGACCTGCGGCGTCAACTAGCGTGATACATTTGCCTAACAATACAAAACGAATACAACCGATAGAACAAATGCTTGGCGGACATCCAGACACGGAATTAGACTAGATGATCAAAAGAGGCCTTATAGGCCTTTAAAGTGATCGTTTATCAAATTGTTAAGTGGAATTAGCGTGCTAAGTAAAGTCAAAGATAAAATAACTTTCTTTGATTATGACTTGTTTATAAATAGATACTTTGAAACGGTCATCTCTTGAATCTTGATTCTATAACTGGAGTTTGTCTTGCTATTGCCGGTTCTACCGACATTTTAAGTTAAAAAATATAAATATTTACGTAACTTTATTCAGTGAAAAAACTATTAAGTATAAATGTGAATGGTAATAATGTTTGAGAAGGTATAGAATAGATATAATCTTTATTCAAATAGACTTGTTTACACGCTCTCGTATAATAATAATTTTTTTATGATATTATTGCTATTATAGGTTCGGAATGTTATTATCTGCTGAAAGGAACAATTTTTACATGACTACAGACTTCGCCCCTTGGAATCTTTTTATAATAAAAAATATACTCATATGTAGGCGTAAGTTTAGAAATACAAAATATTTACGTAAAATGTTTGATAATATACAAATCTATAGACGATACGACACAGAAGCTTTTTTTTTTAATTCCATAAATTCCTCAATTGTCGTTTACGAATGTGATATACATACAGTGTAGTATTAAATAACTACTTGCAAATTTAAAATCGCACGTATGCTTATATTAAAAGTCACAACTCGATCTAGACCCATGAACCGAATTCAAAATTCCAATAGTATCTATAGAAAGTATTTCTGAGTATCGCAAAACTGGTTTTTTGCAAATCCAATGGCGTTTTGGCCAATCTTAACTTCTCAACAAGATTGGTAGCGTTCGTTTCGCGAATTTGCAAGCGCAATATTATTTCGATATTACAATATCTACCATATTTTATTTTAGGAGCGTTCAATGCATTGAGCGTTCTTTATTATGTATCTTTAAAACTGCAGTTTTGAAAAGATAAAGTAATTATATTGCACCTTTTTCACAACATTAACGTCTTATATATTTTAATATCACCATCTTCAGTTTTAATCTATATTTTCATACTAATATTATAAAGAGGAAAGATTCGATTGTTTGTTTGTGCGAATAAACTCAAAAACTTCTCAACCGATTTTAAGTCTTTTTAAAAAAGCCTACATATTATGTTCGAAAATTGTATCTATTCTATTTACTCGATCTCTAGTAATAAATATGACGTTTACGTTTCAAGAATTATTTAAAAAAAAGCATACTTATAGACGTATAGTGTATTTAAATTGCATAATGAAACGCATTATGCAAATTTCAAGTTATAAAATAGTTATAAGTAAATTAAAAGCCACTTTCGATGGAGCAATAAAGCAACTGCATAACACATTCAATTGCTTATTGAGTTATTAATATTAATTGAAGCATAATTAAATTTTTCATGAATGAAGACGATTTAAACTCAATTGAGCGATGAAATCTATCGATTAGATGTTTTATCGATACCATAACGTGATTCCAATATGCAAATGTATGGAGATGCGTAGAGCTCTGTTAGTAAAAGTGTAACAATTTAATTACAGCCTTCGATCGCATTGTAACAGTCGATTATAATCGATTAGATCGCGTTCCGTCAGTCGAACGTGCAATATTTCGTGATTAGATGTATAGATACTATCTATAAAGTAATATAAACTTTTCTAAATAATATAAGAAGTAAATGTAATATTAAACATTATTGACAAATGTACAATGGTCATTGAGGCGGGAGAACAGATTCATATATTGCAAAAAAAATCAATAAAAAAATATAATCTCATGATTGCAATTCCAGATATGCAGAGGTAATCAGTCGACATTATCGACTGTTAACAGTATTTTTACTACAGGAGAATCAATTAAGAATTTAAATTTACACAAGGTTTTTAAGCGGATGCTAACTCACTGCTCTTAATCTGTAAAAGTCTTGAGTTTACAACAACAGCCAGACACAAACAAGTTTGTTTACAACTAGGCAATTAATAAAAAAATTATCGATATATAAACAATATTACGACGACTGACACGCTGAAAATATTACTGAAATTCAATGCCAAAAATCTCACTGAACGGACTCGCTCACCTTGACCTATCTCACGTTCACCTTGACCTACCTCAGTCCTTTATTAACTTGATATCAATAAGCACAGTAATTATCATATTGCGATAAACGTAAATATTCAATCAACAAAATATTATGTGTAAATTTCAGGTGGGACGTCAGCACGTTTGCCATTCTAATTTGCATAAAAAAAAAACTACTGCAGTTGCAATCGTGATTAAAATTTGTATATGAAATCCTACTACAAAAAAAAAAATAATTAAAATTCGTTAAAAACCCATAAGAAATAACACAGACTTATATGAAACTATTTACTACTATATAATAATATTACGAAACAGCTGTAACTCGGGACTTGGCTTTAGATTTAAGGTAAAAAGTATTCTGTGTTAATACAGAATGTGATCTATCTATGGTAATACCAAATTGAATTTAAATCCGTTATGCAACTTAGAATGGCAAACAAGCTGACGGCCCACCTGATGGAAAGTGATAACCGTCGCCTATAAAGATGAGCAGTACCATGAACAGAGTATATCGTTTCGCTTATGATACCCTCCATGCGGTGCCATTCCTGAGGACTCAGGTGTTATTCTTCTGTACCCTATAAATTCACTGCCATATCCTACTCTTCGAACCGAAACACAGCCATACAAACACAACTGCTTCACGTTAGACACACGAATGGAATAGAGGTGCCTCCCTTAAGTGATATTTGATTAAAATTCGATAGATAAACTATACCTTATATTAATAACACACGATACTTTTTTATTTTACCAAGCAAGCAAATTCGCAGTATATTGCTGCTGAAGCATAAAGGCTTTTATTACTCATTGTTATTGAATAATAATAGCAATTGCACGATTTAATGCTTACGATCTAAAAATCGAAAGCGATTAGAAACAGCTACACAAAAAGTCTTTAAAAACCATTTATCACAGATAAAAAAATTGCTTTTTGTAGTATTGATAAGAACTCGCTAACCAATCTGTTTTGTACAAAATAAAATAAACTCAATAAACAAAAAAAAAAAAATCAGATTTATTTTAAAAGAGAATTACTTCATTGTCTACGGTGTAAGCGTTCAAGTCTTTGTCGGATTTCACCTCGAGAACGGTTTATCGATCACAATTTACACACCTATGTAAGCATAAGAATCTTGCGCATACAAGTAAATAATATATGGTCACGCGCAACAATATGTAAGAACACTTGTACTTTGTCATGATTTCAAAGACGTCTGTAATCAGAATTAATAAGTGACTAATACAAGGTACTAAGTATTTGCATGTTGATAGTGCATAAATAAAAAAAAATATAATCTTACTATTCTTATTTTAAAATTAGGTTCTTTTCCGTTACTTCGTACACCTAGATTTGAAAACAATGAAATATCCATCTGTCTATCAAATAAACCATCATCATGATAAAACATACACCAGTTTTAAGTTAGAATTTCAGGAACACAACTTTGAAAGGTGCATACAATTTGATGCAGTAGTCTTTGTGTGATACCAGAGCTTACATATAGACAGCCAGACACAAAAAATTGCTAAAAATGTTTCTTTTGGCTTCTACTGCTC